GGCACGTATGGACTATGCCCAGTGACATATCCATATATATTTAAAATAAAAGTGTATTGTCTACATATACATATTTAAAATGTCTCGCGATGTTTTTCTTCTCAGCCTTGTAAAGGTATTGGAAGGGGACATCAGTTGAGTAACCAGAGGGTTTGGGTGCATATATAAGCGTTGAGCGTAATTCTTTAAAATACTTGCTATTTCTTCCTTGATTGTTCGAACATGTAATTGTTTATGTAGCTGTTCATTCGTTGTATACCAAGGTGCGTTTGTGATCATTCGTAGTGTTTTAGATTGGAAGCGCTGTATAATTGCCAGGTTTGAGTCTGCTGCAGTACCCCATAATTGGGCCCCATAACTCCATATAGGTTTAAGTACAGATTTGTATATAAGCAGCTTATTGTCGAGTGACAGTTTGGAATTTCGGCTGAGGAACCAAAATAAGTTTCGTAATTTAAGACCCAAGGCTTTACGCTTTTTAAATATGTGCGATTTCCAGGTTAGCTTACTATCCAGATGTATGCCCAAGTATTTTGTTTCTACAGCTTGTGGTAATTGAGTATTGTTTATTAAGACCGGCAGGCACGTAGAACGTTTTGTAGTGAATGTTACCTGGACAGATTTTGATTCATTCGGTTTAATACGCCAGTTTATCATCCAGAGAGCAACATTATCAAGGCAGGTTTGAAGTTTGGTGGAAGCACGGATTGGGTCACTGTCAACTGATAAAATAGCTGTGTCGTCTGCAAATGTACCGATAACACTCTCATCGGTAAGGGGAAGATCCGCAGTAAATAAAAGATAAAGCATTGGTCCCATTATGCTACCTTGAGGTACTCCTGCTTCTATATCATGAAATACTGTAGTTTCGTTTCCATGCTTAACGAAAAAGTGCCTAGCCGAGAGGTATGATTTTATAAATATGAAAAAATTTAGAGGTAGATACAGTTTTAGTTTGAACAGGAGGCCCTCATGCCATACTCGATCAAACGCTTGTGAAATATCTATAAATGCCGCAGTGCAATATTTTTTACCATCTATCGCACTATGGATATGTCTGACAAGTCTATGAATTTGTTCTATTGTGCTATGTTTTTGGCGAAAGCGGAATTGATGGTCAGGTATGAGTCTGTTTTGTTGGATAAACGGAGTAAGGCGCTTTAGAAACAGGATTTCCATAACTTTTGACAGGATCGGAAGTAGACTTATTGGCCGATATGATTTGACGTCTTCTGGGCTTTTCCCTGGTTTCGGTATCATGGAGATTTGCGCTATCTTCCACTGTGGCGGAATAAACCCCCTTATTATCACAGCGTTAAATAGATGAGTGAGAAATACAAATCTTTTTGGTGGGAGCTGCTGCAAGGCCATGCCTGTGATTAAATCGTATCCTGGAGCTTTTTTTACTTTTAACTTTGTTATTACATCTCTAACTTCATTAATAGTATATCTTTTAATTGGAAGTTCCAATTGATAAGGCTCTTGTAGAAAATTAATCCTTTGATTCATGACATCAGGCATATTTTGGTTATCATTTGATTTAAAGACCTGGTCCAAATGTAACGCAAATGTTTCTGCTTTTTCAATATCGCTTTTTGCCCATGAGTTGTCGATTTTGCGTATAGGTCTGTTATTCTTTTTTATGGCTTTCCAAAGGGAATATTTTGTATCACATGAAGCACTTAGGTTTTGAAGGTATAGCGACGTGCGATTATTGTTATACTTTAAAAGAAGGGCTTTAACGAGTTTACACAGTTTGTTTAAGCGAGTTTTACCCGCAGGGAATCTCGACTGTTGCCAATGTTTTCTCATCCTACGCTTTTCTTTAAACAGGTATCTAATGTTAAATGGATAATCTTGCTTAACACTTTTAGAAATTGGTGGAGTTGATTCCCATGCAGACATTTGGACACAGGAGTTGAAATGCTCTACTGCTTCAGTTACGTCAGATTCAGTTTTTAACCTGACTTCGGTATTTAGACCAATTGAAATTAGTTGACGGTAACTATTCCAGTCAGTGTTTTTGTTATGAAGAATACATTTTTCCATAATTTCGCAGCAGTCATTGAGAGTGATTATTATTGGCGAGTGGTCAGATGACAAGTCGAAATTGGACTTACAGGTAGTTGTTTCGATACGTACCCCCTTTGATACCGCAAAATCAATTAAGTCAGGTATTTTTCTTCTATCCGTTGGCCAATATGTGGGTTCACCTGTTGAGATTGTGTGGAGGTTGAGTACATTTATTGCTTCGAAGAGTTGACGTCCTTTTGGAGATATTAGGCGGGAACCCCATTTCAAGTGATTAGCATTAAAATCTCCGCCTACTAGGAACCTAGATCCAAGCAGCTGAAAAAATGATATGTACATATCTTTCGTGATACTGTGGCGCGGTGGGCTGTAGAGTGATGAGAAAGTCATGTCGCCTTCTTTAGTTTGTACTACAATGTTTGTTGCCTGGATTTCATTCTTGCAATATGGTTTTGCTTCATAATGTTTTATCGAGTTCCTTATGAGGACCGCAGAGCCACCATTTCCTTTACCACTGGGATGCATTGTGTGATAAAGTTCGTAGTTCGGAATTTTAAAGAAACCACGCGTCGTGAAATGGGTTTCTGATACTAACATTATGTCGACCTGGTTTAATTTTAAAAATGCTTTTATTTCGATAGCATGTTTTGATAGACCATTAGCGTTCCATATGACTACTACTAAATCAAGAATTTTGTTTAGTCGTCAAGTTGATCAGTAAATTTGTCATTACTACGATTTGTTGCATCATTTGCTTCAACAGTGATGTCATCTCACGGAATTCTTCCACAAAATTATTTGGATTTGGTGAAAGCTTCTCCTCTGTTTCGCTACTGGTGTCTGACTTCACTATTTGTGCGAATGTTTCAGGTGAATGAGAAGTCGTGATGTGTTTTTTGTTTAGCGAAGGAAGAGGATTTTCTTGAATTTGTACTTCCGGCGCCCTAGGCCTTAGTTGGGGATACATTTTTTTTTGCAGGTTTTTGTATATTTGACATCCTTTGTAGTTGGCCGGATGATTTCCTTCACATAAAACACATTTGACATCATTGGATCTGCTTTTCCTTTCGCAATTTACAGAAGCATGATTTCCAGCGCACTTGATGCATTTAGGTTTACGGTGACAGTATCCTTTTGTGTGCCCATACTGTTGGCAGTTTGCACATTGAGGGATTTCCCCTTTCGGGTGAGGTGGTTCAAATGTAACTGTAGTATACAAGAGTTTCTTAACCAAATAAATATCCTTATTATTTAGGTTTGGTGCAAGTTCAATAATAAACATGGGGAGAGGTTCACCTGACCCTCTACGTTTAATGTTCCAAACGTTTACAGCCGTATGTTCATGCTCCAGAAGTGCATTTTTGATTTCATCAATATCGGTTGAATGATGCAAAATTTTCAATATAACCCTAAAGCTTCTCTCGGTTTTTGGTTTGTAAGTGTAGAATTCAGTATTTTTGAGCTCCAACTGCTTTATAATGCTTACGTAAGAGTCAGATGTAGAAGGTTGAACTCTTACTTGACTTGGATTTAGCACTTTTAAGTCGAATTGATTTGCCGCATGTTCGTTTAACACATCTATTAGAGGCTTGATGCAATGTACCTTATCAATAAATATAGGTGGAGGTTTCATTAATTTTGGAACCGTATCATTATTTTTTAACGATTCTTCAGTTTCTTCAGAGTCATCTACCTGGAGATCTGCGTAACGGTTTGGTTTGACGGGTTCATTTAGCCAGTATGAGTCTAGCTTGGTTTGTTTTTGGTTTACTTGATGATTTTTACTTGGACTATCGCGTTGACGTTTACGGTTATTAACTACTGTCCAAGTGTCGTTAACAGAGGTTTCGTTTCTGATGGCTGCAGCTTGATTCGATCCTTTGTTTTGGAGGAGGTTATTTTTTTCTTCATTATACAATTTTTGAAGCTGTTGTTGAAGTAGTTGAATTTGTTGTTGTATATTTTTCACCTGAACTGATTTAGCCGTTTTCTCTTTTAGATGACCCGAAGTCGCATTGCTTGACGCCTGCCGCGTGTTCATATTAGTTTCTTTGCGTGTATTGGATAGTATTGTTTCGTGTTGATTTGGGGAACTAAGTTTTATATTATCGTTTTTATTATTTATTAATTTAATTTTGTTAGCGATGGCGATTTCACTAGCTATTTTTGTTATGCTTGATTCAATTTTTGAATTTGAATTTTCTAAAAGTTTGTTTGGGGAATGATTTATTATTTTAGAGTCATCAGTGTTTAGTGTTATATAGCCATTTAGGCCATTTTCACTAATTAAAGAGTGCCGACGTACAACTTTTTCGTAATCGCTCATACAATAAATTTACAATATTTTTACAGTAAGTTTATTTAATTATATTTTAATTATTTAAAAATTTAAATTTATAAATAAGTAAATTTATTTATTTATTTTTATTTATTTTTATATAAGTTTGTTTTATTTTACTTTTAGTAAAATAATTGAAAAAATAAATATGTAATATTTGTTTATGTATTTAAATTTAATTCATGAAAGTTACACTGTGGCAACACTACAAATATAATTTCTTACTTTCATATGCTGTCTCTATCAGCTGTTTGAGCAAAACTTAATTTTGATTTTTTTGTGTTGGTTTTGTTATTTCTTTGCAAACTTAAAATTTGATTTGATTACCAAAAATTTTTTATATTACAAAAAAAACTGATTAACACCGTCCACTGGCACTGTTTTTTCACAGATTCCTTTATTTAAGGTCTATTGTTCAAATTATCATAACTTTGAAATTTAAATTTAACTATTTCTAATCAAAAAAGACAAAAGTTACGGAGTGAACACTTTTTGCGCGCGCTTTCGGTTATACTCAATTGTCATATGAAGAAAAAAGAAAAGAAGCCAAAAAAAGAATACGAAAAGAGATTTTCTGTGAAAAGAACTGGAAAGCATTGAACAAGATTTTCTAACAAATCAAACAAGATCAATGTACCGCAGTACACGAAAACATACACGCATATTCCAACCGCACTTAACAGCTTGTAAAAATAAAAATAGTGAATTAATCAGTGATAGAAAAGATGTTTTAAATATTTGGAAAAACCATTTCAGCGATCTGTTGAATAGCAATGAAGTCGAAGCCCCTAGTGATACATTATGGACAGTAGAAAATATGCTAGAGGAACCTATACTTGAGGACACGAAACGAGCAATAGAGAAGTTAAAAAGCTTTAAATCGTGTGGAGAAGATTCTATAAACGTTGAGCTGATCAAATACGCCCGAGAAGAGCTTCACAAGCAGATACATGAATTGCCAGAAATGCCAGAAATGCCAGAAGAATGGTATACAAGCTTAATAGTTCCTATCTATAAAAAAGGCGACAAAACGAACTGTGCTAACTACAGAGGTATATCTCTTCTTAATGTTTGGTATAAAATAACATATTTTCGAACATACATTGTGACCGAAAAGTTTTCGGAAATTCTCATTTAAAATTCGCGCGCTGTATATTTTTCGATATTTTAAGTTTATTAAGTTTAAGTTTATATAAAAAACTAAACATGTACGCAGAAGAAATACTGGGAGATTATCAATGTGGTTTTAAAACCGGTAGCTCAACAACAGACCAATGCTTCGTCATGTCACATTTTAAACAAGCCTTCGATAAGCTCAACAGAAAATATATTGATTAGTATTTAAAAAAACTTGGTATACCGCAAAAATACATTAACTTAATTAATATGACTCTAATGCATGCAAACACTAAAATAATCCTGAATGGTGAACTTTCAGACAAATTTGGAACCAAATCTGGCGTACGTCAAGGTGATTCTCTATCGATGCTCCTGTTCAATCTGACTCTACATGCAGTTATCAACAAAATAGATGAAGATGGTACAATATTTTATAAATTTACACAAATAAGTGCCTATGCTGACGAAGTCGTCATTATTGCAAGAAACAAGGAATATCTTCAAAGGGTTATCATACAACTAGACCAAGCTACAAAACAAACAGGCCTCAGAATAAACGAAGAAAGGACTAAATACATGACAAGATTTTCCCAAGATGGTCACATCAGAATAGGCAGTTACAATTTCGAGTCTATAAACGAGTTTAAATATCTAGGCGTAGTTCTCAGCACAAGTAAAGATGCGACTTTTGCATTACAAGATCGTATTCAAACAGCTAACATAGCATATTTTGCCCACATGAAGCTTATGAAGTCAACGTTACTATCAAAGGAATAAAAGTTGCGCATATATAAAATTGTCATTAGACCGGTTCTTATCTACTAGAACGCATTGAGTAGATTCATTGGCCAGAAGTAGAGTCAAGCTTTAAATAAATTATTTTGGAAACTTTTAATAAATAAAGTTTGAAATAAAAGAAATCACACGGCTTTTAACTTTCCTCTCATTGGTTTACCAGCTTCGAACTGGTCAATAAACAAATTTATTGCGACGACCCGGACCGCGACTGTGATACCTCAGCAAAAACTAAACGAGCAATCCGTGTCGTTACACCGTATACGATTACGGTAAAATGACGAATTGAATGTCTTGAACGAAGGCCGAACTATACAACGATGCATATAAGCCCAAAGATTGAGCTGGTATGGACACGTCCTACGAATGAGTTACGAAAGAATGACTAAGAAAATTTTCGAGACAAAGCCAGAGGGGAGTAGAAAAAGAGGGCGACTGATACGAAGATGGTTACAAGATGTAGAAGACAACATATGAACAATGAGAATAACACAACACAGAAAGAAAGCGAAATGCAGAGAAGAATGGAGGCGTATTGTAGATGAGGCAATGGTCCCTCCTGGACTATGATGCCAAAATAATGATGATGACGCTTAGCCAATTTTTTTGCTATGTTGTTTGTGCACTGCATTGATTTTTATTTTGTTTGTTTTTTGTTACTGTTGTTTTCAATCGAAGGTTTAACTGTTGATTAAATGGCTCGGCTTCGTTTTAATTTTTATTGATTTATGTTTAAATGATTATTTATTTTTGTTAGCATTACTTTTTTTTATGTTTTGCACTAATTTACTGGTTATTGGACAAACTGTTGATTTCAACAGTGATGGGATGCTGTTTGTTTTAGATGATGTTGTTTTTGTTTGTACAGAGTTTACTGACGTTATTGGGTAAGAAGAAGTTGAGGTTACTGTTGTAATTGATGAGAAAGTTGATGTTGTTGTTGTAGTGGTAATTTTGCAGAGGTAGGCATGTTTGAACAGAATATATTTGTTGAAAAGGCATTTGTTGGAGTTGAACATTGTTCGCTCCAAGAAAGGTTTTTGTTTGCATTTTCCATTACAGGTAAAGCGGGAAAAGTTTGCCTGCGCTCTAATGGCTGCGAGCACTCCACCGGCATTTCAATATTACTTGAAATGTTTATTGTTTTTAATTTTATTTATTTAGTTTAATTATTTAGCAAAAAATTTAGTAGAAATACATTATTAGAGTACAAGATTACACAATTACACATAGAAGAAAGTTTCAATTTATGTAGTATTTGGTCGATATGCAACACTTCCTTAGATAATTATATTTCTTACATAATTATTTGGAGATTTTTCGACTTTATATGCTGTTGCCTTTAGCTGTATTTTAATGAGTGTGATGAAAGATAAGTAAACAAATTCAACAGCATCGTTTTGCAAATTAAATTTACTTTTCCAAAAAAAAACAGGTAGGGTGTTCACAGGGCACTGGTTATCGGGTTATGTACTTATGTGAGCAACAACAAAATACACTGAATAAAAATAAACAACTTTGCGCGAGTCCTGCCTATGTTTACAAATTTATGTGGTTTTGTGGTTATTTGTAGTATTGAAAAATAATATAAAATTTAAGCAAATGGCATCACAAAAAAGATTAACTTCACCGAATGGCACCACGAATTTCAAATTGGCATCACTAACATTTGCAGATGGTTTTGTTTGTAAACAAATATTTAAATTTTGCAAAAGTTAGTAAAAATGGTCTATCCGAAATAAAAATCATCCTTCGTTGAAACAACTTAAAATATTATCTCGCCAATGACTGGAGTTCGGCACACTTAGTTCATCCCCTCGTCGAAAAGATATGACTGCTCTTACAACCTCCTGTAGTTCATCCATTCTTTCATCTATCAAAGCGTGCCACTGGTTGAAGTGCACTGTGTCTATAAATGGAAAAAACTTTGATTTTTGCAGCTTTTAAGCTTTAAAAGACATACATACCAAATTCAAGATCTTTAATAGCTGCATTTACTTTCAAGTCAATAATTTGATTTTTTATACTCTTTTAAAGCATTTTGTGTACAATTGATTTTAAAATTTACATTGAAATTTTTTTGTACTAACAACAAAAACAAAGAACAGCTGATTGTAAAAAAATAAACAGAGAACCTACGTAAAAGTCTGTTCACAGTGCTCACAGGTTATTTTTCATTTTATCACCACATATCCCGTGCCCCGTGGACACCCTTAGTATTTTAAATTTACAGAAATTACAATTTTCTCTCTAAAATCGGGCACCAATTCGTCAGCTCTAGCTTTAGATTCAATAGCTCAATTGATTATAACCATTTTCGGATCATTTCACACGCTTTTTCAGTTCAATACATTAAAAGTCAAAGAGCAGTTTAAAAGTGCGCAGGTTATGTCATTGGCTTCGCCAACACTTCACAATATTCCAATTAATTGGTATATGTGATCAAATTTTTCTATTAATAATAAATTGTAAAATTCGACAGTATATGTCTCATAAGTGTCCCAAATAATTATCTATCCTACGGTACATTTCCCATATTACCAAATTTACTTAATATTGAAATTTTCCAAACATCAATTACAAAACGTAATTCTTTGTAACTGTTCTAGTTGCAGAACCATTAAAGTATCGAAATTAAAGTATTAAAGTATCCTCTAAATAAGCAAAATAAGATTTCCAAATTTCATTATTCAGAATTCAAATTTCTATCTAAATCATTAAAACATTGAAACAATATTTTAATTCATAGCAATTTATATTACAAAATCTATTGCATTTCTCAAACTGCATCAGCATTTAACATAAACAATGCAATGACCCTCATTTGTCAACAGGTTACCAAATTTTTATTGTTACCTTTCATCCACTTTCGCCAATTATGAATTGTAAGTAGTATGTTATATAAGATATTGTAGTGGACCTACCTCACTTACTTCTTAGCCACTTAACATTACTCATAAATAATAATAACAAGCAGATTTATGAATTGGTTGCACTTCATGCATACCGTACAAGAAGCATAAGCAAAGCGACATAAACAAAAGAGTTTCGTATTACCAACGAAAGTATTGCCACACGCTGTTCCAATTGCTGAACACATGTTACAATATTTTCAATAGTAATATTTCCTATATTGCAAAAGACATGTGCAAGCAATATTGTCAATGCACTTTAATAATAACTTTGACGTTTGACCTAAATGAGCAAACAGTGTAGTCGCTATGCAATGCATTCTGCAAGGTCAGCAATCACTTTGATTGGCTGCGGTTATACTTTTCCAGGTTTTGTCTGGAATAAAGAGGCGGAGTCATGAGATCGCTATAATCTAGAAAAATGTATAAATACCCAAACTATTGTTCAATAAAATCAAGAATATACTTATGACTGCAGAAATATATGCGTTGTTGAATTTATTCTCACTCCTTCTGGCCAAGTAACACTGGCGTATACAACGAAAAGTTTTCAAAAGAACATAAAGAAACTGGTTTAGAAATTTTCTGGCATTGAAGAGACAAATTGATAAAAATATTATCACAATACAATATTGATATGTCAACACCACACTCTATATCAACACCAATATCAACACCAATCACCTACATTCCTGAAAATTCAAACACTGAATCTGATAACACAAGACGAACCATGTCTGATTTCAATTTAGAAGTACCTACAAAGGCTATTCCCAGCTTCTCAGGAAATCACAGAGATCTAGAACCTTTCATAAAAATAATTGAAATTATTTACAATGGTCTCACGCCTACAGGCAAAAGTTCACTTATTGATTTTATACTTCATGTAAAATTATCGCAAATAGTACGAACAAACATAACTGCGATTCAACAGCCCACAACACTAAAAGAATTAAAAAACCTGTTATCAAGTAAATATAAAACAACAACCACTATACCGAAACTACAAAACCAAGTAGCCAACTTAACGCAGAGAAATATAAACATTTCTAACTACAAAAATAAAATTCTCTATTTAATATCCGAGCTAAATAAACTTCAAATAGCACAAATTGGCCCTAATGCCACACTTGAACAAAAAACACTCAGCTAAATGAACAATATAGCTTAACCGTATTTAAAAATGGTTTAAACGACCAATTTAAACAAACTATTTTTTCCGCACTCCCAAAATCTTTTGACACAGTCGTAAAATAAACTTTCTGCAATTTCAGGGAAACGTAGGCACCCCGGGGGACAACAATTAACTTCCTCCGGGTATTTGCAAAATTCAAATGTAAACAAGATATATGTCATTACACAGAATTTAACGAATTTTATCACTATTTATAATATACAATTCAACAAACCAATGACATTTCTAATAGACACAGGAGCCGACATATCCATATGCAAAAACCCATTCAATAATGAATTTGATTACAATAGTAATAACAAAAGCAAATTAACCGGTATCACAAAAGACGAAATCATTTCAGTAGGCACAGCTGAGCTAACTTTTCGAATAGGCAAAGATAGTACCAGCATTAATTTCCATTTAGTCACAGATGATTTCCCTACTTCAACCGATGGAATTTTAGGCAGATATTTCCTCATCAAACATTTATGCAAAATTGACTACGAAACATTCACATTAACTGCAATATTTAACGATAATGAAAATACATTAACGATAGATACACAGTTACAATCAAATGGAATTTTAGAAATCCCGCCCAGAACAGAAGTTATAGTACCGATAAATTTAAAAATAAACGAAGATAGCATAATTTTAAATCAGGAAATAGAACAAGGAGTATTCCTAGCTAATTCTATAGCACCCGCAAAAGGAAATTGCCACATAAAGATTATGAACGTAAACAATCATACAGCGCATATAAAACAAATAAAATGCATAACAGAGAATTAAGCAGATCACAATATTATGACAGTATATCAAAAACAAGATATTTATAATAACAATCGTTTCAATAAATTGATAAAAAAATTAAAACTAGGAAATGTAGACAA